CAATTCGCCACTTAATGTTGCGAAGGATATTCCAGAGGACCAAAGAGATGGGTTGAACTCAAGAAATGACCGGGTAACCTTTGAGGAAAGGTGACCGGTCATGTTGCGCTACTTGAGAAGGGCAATCAACATCAGAGGCTAGAGGACACCCCGCCGCTCATCCATCACGAGGCAAACAGTGAAGGGAATGATTGGCGTTTTGCAGGATTGATTGGATTGAGAATATCCATGTTAGTCTTTGATTGAATAGTGCATGTCTTGGCTTGTAGTTGCTATATTCATTGATTGAATAGTAAATTGATTATGTACAGTGACCTTCCTCCGGGTTTCCCATTTTGTCCATGGATGAACAGGGGAAGGTCACAAATCCTCCTCTATAAATATGATGATATTGGATAGAGGAGGGGATCCATTCTTTATCTCACTAAAAACTAGTACACTCTTGAGACAGAGTAAGAAATATATTTCGGACTGAGGAGATTTACCCGGTCTAGGTCATACTTTGTGTTCTTGTTGTGTGTTTATATATTACGGGTCGAGTGTGTCCAGGTCAAACCCGGTCAACCCGCCCACCTATATTTACACCATCAACAATAAAATTAAAAAAAATTATACGGAGTATAATAGAAAATATGCAAAAGAAAGAAAATTTATAAAGATCACCAAATTATTTTCAGAAAATTACTTACGGGTGACGCGAGTTTTGTCGAAATAACTCTCAGGTCCCTCTATTTTCAAGAAGACAACTGAGGTCCTTATATTTTGTTGTAATGACTAGGAGGGGACATTTCATCCAATATTTCATCCATAAGTGTTAATAAATGTATTTTTTTTCCTATTTTTCCATTACTGTTTTTTCCTATTTTGCCATTACTCGGTTGTTTCTTTTTTAGAAAATATTTTACTCCGTATTTCATTTATTTTAATATAATACAAACAATTTTGAATTTTTATCCGATTTTATAGAAGAAATTCTAAAATAACTCTTTAAAAAAGAGTAACAAAAAAAAAGAAAAACAAAGAAATAAAAAAAGGAGTGACCTAAGATTTATTACCTTAAAACATTTCGAAAAAAATAGGGAAAAAAAATACATTTATTTACGTTTATGGATGAAATATTGGGTGGAATGTCCCCTTCCAATAATTACAACAAAATGTAAAGACCTCCGTGGTCTTCTTGAAAATAGAGGGACTTGAGAGCTTCACCCCTGAAAAACGAAATTCTATTTGGCTTGCGGCCTTGCGGGTGAGAGTGATATCTACCGCGCCAACGGTTAGCATTAGATGTTACAGCGGCACCTATACGGACTGCGGAGTACTGTATAGCCATGGCTGCGGTTTCTATAGGTGGGTTTGGACTGAGCAGTGGAGTTCATCTCCCAAATCTCAATAACCTATCCATCAGAAACCCCAAACCCAGATTAAAACCTCTCAATTTCACATTCAGATCAAGAAATCTCGTGGTTTTCGCTGTCGGAGGGGAAAGCTTCAGCTTCTTACACGACGTTTTTCTGGGTGTTGGGGTGGGACTTCCTTGCACTGTTATGGAGTGTGGGGATGTAATATACAGGAGCACTCTTCCCAAACCCAATGGGCTAACAATAACTGTTCCTGGGGTGATTTTAGCATTGGGTACCCTTTCTTACCTCTGGGCAACACCTGGTGTGGCCCCTGGGTTTTTTGACATGTTTGTTCTTGCGTTCGTCGAAAGACTGTTTAGGCCTAGTTTTAAGAAGGTTGGTGATCAGGTTGATGAGTGAATGGATATTGCTTGTGGGCAATTTTGTTTTTCAGCTGGTTTGACGTGATTTTAATGTGTTCTGTATTTGCAGGATGATTTGGTCTTGGGTAAGAAGCTGGGAGAGGGATCTTTCGGTTCCGTTTATAGAGTTTCCTTAGCAAGAAAGGGATCATCAAGGTTGAAGGTAACTGTTCGAAAAAAGTCCTCTGTAAATGATAAGACATGGAGATTTTTGTGCTTTACTTTCTATGAAGTTTTGGGCAGTCAACACATCAATCCCTAATGGAAACAACATTACTGTTATTTTTGTTATTTACTGCCTTACTGGGGTTAAGGTTGCATACATCTTGACCCTCAGAGCCCAATGGAGTTTGGATTTTTCTAGGTTTTGTTCTTCATTGTATAGCATAAATCATATGGAACACATAAAAATAGACCCTTCTAATAAGCACATGAGCTTTGTGTGTTTAGATATCAGATAGTTAAATGTATCGCAACTCGGAAATCATGTGATTTGGAATTAAATTATAGCTTTTGTCTTCATTTTGTTGCTTAAAAGGACAGTGATTTAGTTTTGAAAAAGGCAACTGAATATGGAGCAGTAGAGATATGGATGAATGAACGTGTCCGAAGGGCATGTGCAAACAGTTGTGCTGATTTCGTATATGGGTTCCGTGAGGTATTTGTCCCACATTGCTAAGCAATCACACTTTTTAAATCTGAAACCGAGTGCGAACCATTCATATAGCTAAACGGCAAATCTCTACCATTTTTTTCCAGAGCTCTTCAAGAAAAGGGGCAGAGTATTGGCTTTTATGGCGCTTTGAAGGGGAAGCCACTCTCGCTGATTTGATGCAGAGTAAAGATTTCCCATATAATGTTGGTGCTTTTTATACAGTTTTGTGTCACTTAGTCACACTAGGATGACATTCCTGTTAAACTATAGTGTCACCTTGATCTGAATGTATGTTTCAACTAGGGATGGTCATAACTTTCCAATTTAATGAAGGGGACGGTTCTGTTGACATTGGAAGTTGGAACCCGATGTCATAATATGACATTGGGTTCCAATGTCAAAAGAACCGCAGGGTTTAACGAATAGGAAGAGATTCCTGTTACAATATAATGAATCTGATATAGTGATGTGTTTAAACCAGTTAGGCAGCAGGGTTTAATTTTAATTCCTTACTTTGCAGTATTTCCGTGGGATTCTACTGGGTTGTTGTAGTTTGCAATATTTGTTGTTCATTGAGTTCACTCTCTCATGGAAAAAAATCATGAAAAATCCCAACTATTGCTGGTCTCCTCATGATAAGAACTCCAACTACAGGGGGAACATGCCCAAAATGAGCTTGTGGCCTTCATAAACCATACATATAATCCCGTCCCTTACTTATCTTCTCATAATACTCCCAACTATGAAATATTTTAGAATAATCTTGACTAGAGGTGATACTAAAGTGAGCAATTATCAAACCGTTTGAGATCAAGTTTGCTTTTGAGCTTAATAAATCCAACCTGAGCCATTATTAAACTGTTTGAGGTCAAGTTTGATTTTGATCTTAATGAATCCAGCTTAATAAGTAGGGGTAAGGTCCGTGTACACACACCCTCCCTAGATCCATCCTACTCTGGTGGGGTTCAACTGGGTTGTTGTTGTTGAATCCAGCTTAATGAGCTTTGAAACTCTTTGTACTCTCTTCATATATAACGACAAGCAGATTGTCTTGGTAGCTAATAAATGCATCAAAAATTGAACCTTGGGTCTCATCTAAATAAAAAACCTAGGGAGTTCATGGTATAAAGGAAACCCCAGCAGTTATACTCTTTATTTCCTACCAATATATCAACCCATGACATTTGCTAAAGCAACACAAATTGATCACGTGTTTGTGAGCCTGATCGAGCTTTTCCATTGTGTGTGTAAGATATTTGTTTGTTAAATATTTAAGATAAATGGAAAAACAATTAAGACTTATTGTAGTAGAGCTTGAGTTTGTAAAGTAGCATTTGATCACGTTCGAGCTGAGCTTGGAGCTTTGATTTTTTAAGGAAAGGGCAATCATTTGACACCCACAAGAAGTTCAGAAGCTTTAAGTAATTTTATTAGTTTATCAAGTGAGTTGACCATCTTTTTTTATTTTAAGGTTAACATAAAGGGTTCATTTTCTACAACAACAAGCTTAGCATATTCTCAACTCTGTTGAGGTGTGTGTGTGTGGGGGGGGGGGGG